GTATTCCTGACCCTATAGTGTTAACACCACCATCTAGCCCCTCTGGGTCCCTCATGCCTCCATAAACATAGTAAAATTCTTAGTGTATTTAAGCCAGAAGCTGTAAATCTGCATGCTGTTAGACTCAGGAAAAACAAGCAGTCTGCTGACATGTGATAGCCTGATCCAATCACAGTGCTTCCCCATAGGATTGGATGAAACTGCTAAGGAGGCAAATCAAGGGCAGAGCCAGCATGATTCAAACACAGCCCTGGCCAATCAGCATCTCCTCATAGAGATGAATTGAATCAATAAATCTCTATGAGGAAAGTTCAGTGTCTGCATGCAGTGGAAGGAGATACTGAATCACAGGATGCTCGTGCACAGCAGATCTGGTATGTACACACTGGGACAGCGTCTTCTCCAGGGGGGCCCAGGAGCTGGCCACCTCAGGGCCCCCCCGAGGCTGGCCCCGCTGACACCTGGCAGGCAGACGGGAGGGCGGGCAAGGGAGCAATCTGCTCTGAGTGCTTCCTCTTCAGCTCCCTCGTGCACTGCACTGATACCGGAGCTGGAAGATGACGTCATCTTCCGGCACGGGCATCCCTACGCAGCGCGCAAGGGAGCTGAAGAGGAAGCACTCAGTGGAGAGTGCTCCCTCACGCGCCGCCCACCCAGACAGCCCACCCAGGAGCCCAGTAGCACCACTGGACCCCAGGGAATCCCCCCAGCACTCCAAAAGGTAAGGAGGCTGGAGAATTACATTTAAAAAGAATTGTGTTAGTGTGTGTGTGTGTGTTTGTGTGTGTGTTTGTGTGTGTGTCTGCTAGTGAGTGTCTGTTATTGGGTGTGTGTCTGCTAGTGAGTGTCAGTGAGTGTGTTACTGAGTGCGTTTGATGTCTGTTATTGAGTGTGTGTTTGTCAGTGAAAGTGTATGTTTTGAAAGTGAGTGTGTATGTATGTCTTTCACTGAGTGTGTCTCTGTCAGTAAATGTGTGTGTCTGTTAGCTAGTGTGTATGCGTCTGTTCGTGAGAGTGTGTGTATGGTCTTCAGCATTTACCTTTCTCCAGCGCCGGATTCCCTTGGCGCTGGGGATCCCTCTGCCTCTCAGCTCCGAATGCACATGTGCGGCAAAAAGTGCTCCCGCATTTAAACCGCCCATAGAAAAGAATTACTCAATGCTTTCCTATGGACATTCAGTGTCTTCTCACAGTGATTTTCACAGTGAGAATCGCGGAAGCTCCTCTAGCGGCTGTCAATGAGACAGCCACCAGAGGCTGGATTAACCCTCAGTGAAACATAGCCGTTTCTGTTAAACGGCTATGTTTTCAGCTGCAGGGTTAAAACTAGAGGGACCTTGCACCCAGACCACTTCATTGAGCTGATGTGATCTGGGTGTCTGTAGTGGTCCTTTAAAGGACCACTATAGGCACCCAGACCACGTCAGCTTAATGAAGTGGTCTGGGTGCCTGGTCCAGCTAGGATTAACCCTTTTTTTTATAAACATAGCAGTTTCAGAGAAACTGCAATGTTTACACTGAGGGTTAATCCAGCCTCTAAAGCCTCTAGTGGCTGTATCATTGACAGCCACTAGAGGCGTTTGCATGCTTCTCACTGTGAAAATCAAAGTGAGAAGACACCAGCGTCCATAGGAAAGCATTGCAAATGCTTTCCTATGAGACTGGCTGAATGCGCGTGCGGCTCCTGCCGCACATGCGCATTCAGCAGATGACGTCACTAGGAAGAAGGAGAGGAGGAGGAAAGCTCCCCGCCCGGCGCTGGAGAAAGGTAAGATTTTAACCCCTTCCTCTCCCCAGAGCCCGGCGGGAGGGGGTCCCTGAGGGTGGGGGCACCATCAGGACACTATAGTGCCAGGAAAATGAGTATGTTTTCCTGGCACTATAGTGGTCCTTTAAGTGTGTGTGCATACCGTGGTCGCAGCCCTGCATCCCCTGCGACCAGGTGCCCACCGCCATGTGTTGCGGCCCTGACCCGCGCCGAGTAAGCGGAGGGGGGGGGAAGCCACGGATCAATTTTCGCACCGGGGCCCCATGGGTCATGTGTACGCCACTGGCCTCCATCAACTCAGAAGTCCCTCTGGTTCACTCTGAGTGACTGCAACTGGAGGTGTTCCTAGCTTTCAATGTAAACACTGTATTTTCTCAGAAAATACAGTGTTTACATGAGAACGGCTGCAGGAAGCCTCATTACGCTGAAGTTGTTAAGGTGACTATAGTGTCCCTTTAAAATGACCTGCTGGACCTCCACAGGACCTACCTACATAGCAGTAAATGTCTACACAGAAGTTACCAATGTTTTATTGGTATGCATAAAAAAAAAAAAGACTTAATTAGTTTGTATACTTAGGAACATGTCACTCAAGCACTAAGGATAATCACAAAAACTGTTTTCAAAAAGATGAACTGATTTTAACTAATTTTAGTCATAACATATATTTATTTATATCATAAATGTAATCCTTAACCTTAGTGCTACCCTTAAACTAACCCACACTCTATATTCTACAAATGGTATTGTTATACCATTGATTTCCCGGATTCTGACCCCTGAAACAATAACCTGTAGACTAACTACCCCTGGGTCCCTATAATTTTCAAAGGCATCAATGCACAAGTCAAATCTAATTCATTGACTTTAGTGGGCAGTCTAACACTCCCTATTGTTCCTTATATAGCTTATAAGATTAAATACCCATCATGCCTGGCATCATATTAATTGGTCTCCTTTACAGGTACTATAAACGTTATAGTAAAATCGTTAGAGCAAAGGACCGGTATTAAAGGTACTGACACAGAAGCATGCATGCACACATATGTTAGCATATATGTATATGAGTTAAAATACATAGGCTACACAAACATATAAGCATTATTATTATTATTATTATTGCCATTTATATAGCGCCAACAGATTCTGTAGCACTTTACAATATTATGAGAGGCGGGATTTAACTATAAATAGAACAATTACAAGAAAACTTACAGGAATGATAGGTTGAAGAGGACCCTGCTCAAACGAGCTTACAGTCTAGAGGAGGTGGAGTATAAAACACATTAGGACAGGAAATAGCAATCAAATAAGGTGGAAGTAAAGCAGAGCTGGAGGAGAGTAGAGTGCTGCCATTTAGGAGAGAGCAAGAGGCAGGTATGTAAGGTAGAGGTTACTCTGGGAGGCCATAAGCTTTCCTAAAGAGATAGGTTTTAAGGCACTTCTTAAACGATTGAAGACTAGGGGAGAGTCCGATGGCAGGCTATGTACTGGTATAGCTTGTTTTATGGTTAAATAATACCATAAAGGCATTCTAAAGATAGCGTAATAAATGTTTTATGTTTAGTCTCCAGAAGCCCACAATGGCATTATTATCCCCAATCAATAGAGGGGTTTCAAGATTCAAGGTTATTCCATAACATATCTTTTTCTTTTTGGGAATTTCAAGTAGTTTCTAAGGAGATATTCTAAAACAGCTACATATTTAGCAATTAATAATAGTAATATTAACATCACATTGCTCTGTCACAATCAGTTTATTAACATGGTTTCTAATCTGGCTTCTGTCTGCCATTTTCTTAATGTTAGTAAAAGGCAATATTGTTTCCTTAAATCAATTGCAGACTACACTTCTTCAAAACTGGTGAAATATATACTGTTTTCCATTAGAGGGCAGCATATGCTTACTGTAAAATAAAGCAAAAAAAACAAAAAACCCATGTTTTAAATCTTGTATTTTCCATCCACGATACATCTGAATTAAATGGCTAAATATATTTTTAAAATATCCATGTATAAGACTAATGCAGATCTGGAATGCTATTTACATTAAATTGGAATAAATTGACAGATGATTTAGTAGAAGAAAAAAAAAACCCAGAATTTCTTTTTGCTAAGATTGCCTCAATAAATTTTATTCAAACCAAAAGCCAATGTGTTTAAAATAGTACATTGAATTAAATATAAAAACAACAAAACAAAATAACATTTCTATACTGTGTGAGTTTAGCAGCACAAAATAATAATAATACAAATGCAAAAAATAGGTTTATATTAATAGAGATGATTATTGATGCATTTTATTGCTATACTCATATATATATCCAGCCTGGCGCTGGATTAAGGAGTTGTAACCCCTTCAGTGCCGAGGGAGGAGGGCACTCCAAGAGCCTATAGTGCCAGGAAAACGGCTTTGTTTTCCTGGCACTATAGGATCCCTTTAAGATTTTCTGTCTATACTAACATGTTAGGTAATCTGAAATATATTGTAATACTATTATTTTTGATTGTTTGTTTGTTTAGTAAGTACACACAGTGCTATGTGACCTGTACTGTCTCATAAATATAAATGTAGAAACATACAAAGCAATGGCTAAACCTATAAACTGTCTTCTGTGATTTCTATTTCATCTTGTTTAATTATATCCTTCAAATTATTAGAAATAAGTCAAATTTTTGTGGACTAATAATAATTTAGCGTAATCTAGAAAGACTAAAAAATTTCCAAGCCAAATAAATAAATAAATGAAATAGATATATATTCAAATCATACCAATTATTTTTTTCTTTTAGAAAAATAACAGTGTTGCTTACAGTATATACTCGAGTATAAGTCTAGTTTTTCAGCACATTTTTTGTGCTTAAAACCCCCCACTCGACTTATACTCGAGTCACTGTCTGTATTATGGCAACTTAGAGAGCCGCGGCCATCAGAGCCATGGCAACGATCTGCGCGGCAACCAGACCGTAAGACTTACAATGGAGCTGACCAGAACGGAGGAGAAGGGAGCTGACAGGAGCTGCAGGAAAGGTAAGTAAATGCCTTCTGCCGGCCCCCCCACTTCACAGCCCATGCCACTGGACCACCAGGGATTAAGATAGCCCCCCTCCATGACCAGTTAACAAGCAGGAAGGGGGGGACAAAAAAATAAAAAAAAATAAAAAAATATTAAAATAAAATTAAAATTAAAATTAAAATGCCCTCCCCCCACCCAGTTCGCACACACTACACAAACACACACACTGCATTATATACACACTCTGCATTGTATACACAGAGTGTGTGTATATAATGCAGAGTGTGTGTTTGTTTGTATGAGTGTGTGTGTATATAATTATAAAAATCACAGAATTTCATAGCCCCAAGTTTTACCCTCGACTTATCCACGAGGCATAGCATATTTCACAATTGTTGGTCACAAAACTGCACTCGACTTATACATGAGATCGACTTATACACGAGTATATACGGTAATCATGTTTTGTATTTTATCACTGTGTTATATGGCAGGCCCTTAATATCCATTAACTGCAATAAAGCAATCATGTTCAATAACAAATTAATTTACTGGGTAGGGACTCTCAAGATCTGGATTGGATTAGGTAAAGAAAAGGCAATGCTGATAATAAAATAAATTATACTCAATGCCTGGTGGCAGGTCTTCTTCTACTTAATCAGACTCGGCAGCACTATAAATGGTCAGTTAGTGCAGTGTTCCCCAGCCCAGTCCTCATGGCCTACCAACAGTCCAGGTTTTTACAGTATCTCCATATGAATAAAAGAGGGAAATATATAAATCCTGGATTGTTGGTGGTCCATGAGGACTGGGTTGGAGAACACTGAGTTAGTGGACTCTCAGAGCAGATGACTAACTTTCTTTTACGATCAGACCAGTCACAGTACTCGCTTCACAAAAATTCACTGCCTACAAGCATACTTGTTCTAAATACTTATTTAGACATAGACTTGTAAATATTAGTAGAGCCAGATGTACAAAATGTAACTATTTTGTCTTTGACCCGTGTTGCTATGGCAATTAGTATTTTTTTTTTCTTTTCTTCTGTTCAATGGAACGGTAATGGGTAATTTGTTTTCCTATGTTCCTTAGCTTTACATATTAGATTCCTGAGAACATATTTTTATGAATACCTTTACAGAACTGAAAAAAATGCAAAAGAAACAAATAATAGCCCTCCGTACTAACCATATTTAACTCTTTAATTATTGATATTTAAAGGATATGCAATTACTTTACCGGGAGCTTTTCAAAATGCTGTGTAGTAATTAAAATTTAACTGTATACATTTCCGTTAGAGGACCCTTGTTCCTTAACTCCCTTACAATTGAATTCAAGAAACATGATGACTTGTCTACTTGCCTATCCATCGATCATAAATGTAATTCTCTTGTCAGCATAGGACATAGAATTCTTCAAAATGGTACAGTAAATATTGGCATCGTTGCTGTCTACCACCATCTGGCATTTGTTTAAACATTTATTCAATTTTCAGCAGTTTTTATCAAATTATGAACAATATACCTGTTTGATAAAAAACATTTCTCCATCTGGCATCTTATCTTTTTTGATCTTATTAAGATCATGTGCACGTAGTTTATTTTTCAGTGCATGTTAATGTACAGTGTAATTTTATTTTCTTATTTTTAAATGAATTTCACATTTTAATGTGAAACAGGTATGCTTGTATTTGCAGATATATTTTAGAATAATAACTGTAAAATAGAAATCTTCTTGATTCATAGACTAGAAAGTTAAAGGGACACTATAGTCACCAGAACAATTACAGCTTATTGTAGATGTTCTGGTAAGTATAGTCAGTCCCAGTGTTTACATTAAAGCCTATGGACACCTCCAGTGGCCACTCCTCATATGGCCACTGGAGGTGCTTCCTGGGGCAGTGCTGCTCTGCATGGAGACTCTGAACTTTCCTCATAGAGATGCATTAATTCAGTGAATGAGGAAGTGCTGATTGGCCAGAGCAGAATTTGGCCTCGCCCCCACCCCTTCTCCTTGACAATCTTGGCTAATCCAATGCTTTCCCTGTGGGGAAAATAAACCATTTAATATATTATAGGTTCTATTATTTTGCCAATGTCAGGATCTTACATATTTGCATGCTAAAATAGGTGATTTGAAGTAGCCTTATAAAATTGAGAAATTTATTTTTATATGTGCGCTGTTCTTTAATCTGTATTATGTATACATTTTGGTCACTATGGCACCACCATTCCTGTAAAATGTCTCTAATTCCTTTTTGTCTTTAGCATTAAGGTATTTGAACTCCAGTACCTGTTCTCTGTGATCGGACCAGACAGGCTAAATTGTGCTCCCCATGAGCATCAATGAGCCTTGGGTGCCCATGACTCTGTTTCACCAGTTGTCCTTCCTTGCACCACTTTTGGTAGGTAATAACCACTGCATACTGGGAACACCTTACAAGACTTGCTGTTTTGGAGGTGCTCTCGACCCAGTCATCTCTTCATCTCAATTTGGACCTTTCCCCAGATCTTTTCACTTGCCCATTTTCCTGCTTCCAACACATGAAATTTAAGAACTGATTGTTCTCTTGTCCAATATATCCCATCGCTGGACCGGTGCCATTGTAATAATCATTGCTATTTGCTTCACCTGTCAGTGGTTTTAATGTTTTATAGATATAAATCTGTTTTATTTCTCTATTTTAGTTACTGTACAATACACTTACCATAGCTAGATTTCCATATAGCTATGGTGTATATATATATATATACACCATAGCTATATGGAAATCTAGCTATGGTAAGTGTATTGTACAGTAACTAAAATAGAGAAATAAAACAGATTTAATAGGGTTTGAAGTTTTTACCAATTTTCTTACTTTAAAAAAAAATCTATCTTTCTGAAATAGGCCCATCATTTCTCAACAGGTAGGTGGCTGGTGTGCTGCAGGTTATCTCTCTTGACTTGCATCAAAGAGCTAAAAGGATGTGAGCACTGAATGGAAGAATCTCTCTCAGAGTCGATACAGTATTGAGCATTGCTCTTCCTCAGTACTAAGCATCTCTGACATGTTGCAGTAAATAGGCTCAGTGTGTATCGACATATTAAGTGATCAGGAAGAATAGTAACCTGCTTGATAATGATTTCAGGCACAGCAGTGGCACAGTGGAAAGCCTAATTTAGAGGAAAGAGCAGGTTTTCTATACTTACATGAAAACAGTCATTTACATGTTCTTGCTCCCTTATGGAGGGGTCTAGCATTTGTTTGTTTGTTTGTTGTTGTTTTTGTTCTTGTTGTTTTTTTTGTCCGTTTTCTAAAACATTGGCTTCTTCCCATAATTACTATCCATCTGTTTTGTCTCTTTACTCAGAACATAATTTCTTCTTACTTTTTAATCAACCAGGATTCCATTTATAACTAAAAAAGAAAGCAATAGGTGGAACTGTAACTTTTAAAATGTAACTTTTATTGCATACTTAATAAATGTGTGCACAAACTTAGTATTAATTATTAACTATAATCAGGTCACCTACTGAAATAACGTAGGACAATTCTGAATTTTTAATGAGTTAGGTAAAACTTCATATAAATTAAAGTAACTGTAGTAATAACCATATTCCCTGTTCCAAAAATACTCTTATAGTGTTGGAAAATATCTAATTGTGACGACTGAGAACTCCCACTGCTATCCGTGTAGTTACTCAGTGTCTCAGTACCCAGAACAAAGAATACATTAAGGGGAAATGAAAGACAATATAGTCATCAAAAAATATATATAAAATAATAGTGCCAATGCTGTACTTATAATGCAATTTGTGCATTAACATATAGTAAACTTAATACAATATAAACTCATAGCCTAAATGGGAATTGTAGTACTTCACTAAAGCCAGCAGAGGTCAATAAAGAAATTGATTCAAATACATTTTTGGAAAGGGTATTACTATATTGCAATTATATGGTCAGTAGGGAGCACTATATCTACCCCATACCATATAGACACCTCAGTCAAGCTCAATTGAAATATAAAGTAGAAAAAAAAAATAATAGAAAAATGTAAAACAATTTCCCTAAAATATAAACCAGTCTAAAGAAATGTAAATGCACTCCGTGAACATGTACATGAACTACACTGTGCTAAATAGGGATGGGAAGTTTCTCTTTTCTCTGCAATTATAGATGACTTGGGTACAGCCATAGTTGCAATGCAGGACTCAATATAGTTGGTGATTGAGATTAGCTGAGGTATCTATATGGGATACATATAGTGCCCACTACTGATCATATAAGTGCAATATTGTAATACATTTTTTTTAATTACTTTAAATCAAGTTCTTTACTGACCCCTGCTGACTTTAGAAAGTATTACAATTTCTATTTAGGCTATTAGTTTTTTTTTTTTGTCTTGGGATTTATTATTACTATTACTTTTTTCGTAGACTATAAGAGTATTTTTGGAATATGAAATTTGGTTATTACTACAGCTACTTTAATTTATATGAAGTTATAACTAACTCATTGAAACTAGAAATGTTCCTATATTATTTCAGTAGATGACCTGATCACAGCTAATAATTAATATTAATTGTGCAGACATTTAATAAGTATATAATAAAAGTTATGTTTAAAAGTTACTGTTCCACATTTGCTTGTTATTTGAGTTAAATATTTTAAGGGCAGAAATCTCTGAGTTGTGTTGATAGCTCCTGTGTAAACTATGTGTATAACTTACTGTGTTTAAACTACTAGACCCTTTGTATTTGCTCTCTGATTTATTTTTAATAATCTCTACTCTTTAAAAATGTAATTAAAGGGGACGGAGCCTGACAGCCGAGCAGAGCAAACACAAGCCACAGTAGCTCCTGCATTTACTTGTGATTTTAACTGTTTATTGGTGACAGAAGGGCATAACTCGACTTACTTGGGTCAGCAATTGAGAGGGGATATCATTGTATCAACAAAGAAACCACTTAAGCCGACCTTCCTAACAGAATCGCCTGATATCTTCATGCGGCCTATTAGCATGGCTGGTACGAGAGAGACAGACGCTCTCCTGCCACCACTGATGGCTGATGCACCCAGTCTGAGCCTGAGGACCGGGGGGGTTATCCCAGTCCCCACTGGCTTGCAGCACTCACCTTTATTGGTTCACAATGAACACGTCAACATATGCTTCAAAAACAAGGACCTCAACCAAATTGGCGGACGCACATATTATCTTAAAGCATCCTCTTATACAATCTAGCGGAGAACAACATAGCTCAGTGGAGCCTTGACATGATTTTCCATTGCTTTTGGGCTGAACTGGA